CCTCACTTTCCAGCTCCAGATCAGAGAGGTCCCCTTACTTTCCCCGCCCCAACCTGTTTTCAGTAAACTCTCTGGAGTAACGCTGCACTGCGGGACACTTCTACTGTCTTGCCCCCGTTACAGGGCGTGCCCCTGCCCCCCCCCCCCGGCACCCCTCCACAGCGCCCCGGGTTCAGAAGCAGCCGTGTTAGGATGCTGTTCCTGTGGACGCCGGTCCTCTTCTCCAACTGCCCCACCCCAGGAGCCGTGGAGGGAGGGTTCTCCCCCATGTCTGGAAGCTAACGCTGCCAGGATCATGTTTATAAATATTTTTAGAAACAAAGATTATTTCAGAATAATGAAAACATAGTCACACTCAATGTATAAACAGTGAACTTAATTTAATAAACAGTTAAATGTAACATAATCATAAAAATATTACAGAAGGGTGAGTTTAGCTTAGATCGTGGGGGTCTCATTTCACAGGAAGATGATAAATGTTCTTGAGTCCAGGACAACAGGGCAGAATCTCAGGATTGCTTCCCTGCCTCTCTTCCTCCCTCTCCCCCTCCTTCCTCCCTTCCTGTCTCCTTCCTTCTTTTCTTCCTTGCTCCCTTTCTCATTCCTTCTTTCCCTCCTTCCTCCCTCTCTCCTTCTTCTCTTTCCTCCCTCCCTCCTTCTTTCCTTCTTCCTTTTTTCTTTCCTTCCTTGCTCCCTCCCTCCTTCCTACTTTTCCTCCTTCCTTCCTTCCTTGCTTCCTTTTCTATTTCTTCTCTTCGTCGTTTTGGGTGTTACCGGGTTCTTGCAGAATCCCTGTAAAGGGATTCATTGTTAACCTATCATAATGTATTATAAGTAATTTTAATATCAATAAATATCCGTCTCTCTTCACCACCATTTCAGTTAGTTAAGTCGGTACATAATGATGCCATTATTTATTTAACTAACCTTCTAACGTGGGACATCCTGATCCTTCTCTAACTTTTACTGCTATAAATCATGCTGGTCAGTGGTCTTGCTAAGATCTAAGCGACTGCTACTCAGTTAACCCTGCTTTTCTGTTCACCTATTTAACTCCTCAAAGAATTCTAGTAGGTATGGAATTCCCTTTTATAAACACTCTGTCCAACATGGTATTTAAGTAAATTTAGTAACTTTGCTACAGTATGATAAAACAGTGCTTTAAACTGAGATCTAAAGTCAGCCTCCCTGAGCTTGAAGCCAGCTCTGCTGTTTGCTAGCTGTGTGACCTTGGGCGGGATAGCTAACCTTCTGTACCTTCTGTCTCTTCACCCACGTGAGAGGGTAATACTAGTACTTCTCTGGTTGTAGGATTAAAGAGACGATGTATTCAAAGGCACAGTCTCCAGCCTTTAGTGCTCACTCAAATAATACTAGCTATTGTTAATGATAATTAACTTGCTTTCCCTTTTTATTCATGGTATTAAATGTAAATTTCTACAAAAATATGGCTGCAGACAAAACTTCACTTTGGGGCAAGAAATACTGGGAGCAGAAAGAAAGGAGTAGGGTGGTCTCGGCGGGTCAAGCACATGGTAGGACATGCTGCCAATTCTTCGGATGTGGTGGGAATCAGGTCTGGACTACAGCGGAGCTGCTGAGCTAGGCTACCCGCGGTGTGGGGAGGTGGCTGCGGTCACCACAGCCCCCAGCCACCTGCCGGCGGCCACGTTGTGTGTTCAGACCCGTAGACCATCTAGCTCATCCTGTCCACATGAGCTAGAACTGACCAGTATACACCTGTGTTTACTTCTCCCCTAGGGTTCCTTTCTCTTCCTGCTTTTGTCTTGGTGAAAGCAGAGAAAAAGTCAAGTTCCTGGCTTACTTGGGCATTTCCTAAAGAACAGATTTTATTGTACTCATTTGACCTCCTTAAGGAGCCTGTTCTGCAAACATTTCCGCCCACCCCGCAGGGTTCTGGCAGCTGGGAGACCCCTCAGTGGGAACCGAGGCTAGGTATGAACTTGGGGTCTATTTCTGGAGATAAGAAAATACAGGGAATTTGGGGTCAATCGTTCACATTTAACTGCTAGAGAAGTACATCGGAAATATCTGAATCCAGAATTTATTTACATTTTAATTATTAGACCAAGTCCTTGGCTGATAAGAAAATAAATTCGACAGTACATCGGATGTGTGAAGGAGAGAGCAGGATTTTTCTTCCCGGAAGAGGCTCTGAGGTCTCAAGCTCTGGGAAAAGAATTGCATGTCAAAAAGACTGATTTCTATTCTGAGCCTTGCAGCAGCCTCCTCAAGTCCCAGAAAGGATAAAGGAAGGAGTTCTTTCATCTAGGAAGACATTTTTCTCTGGTCGTGTCCCAGGTCCTCCTCGTATCCTATGCTATTATTTTTCGAGACATGAGCCTTGACGGAAATAGCCACAGCCCAGGGGGACCGAGTGACCCACCAGTCGGCAGGCCTGTGCTTACGCTGCTTCTTCTGAACGAGGATCCCACTTCAGCCTCCTTCATGGAATGCTGTCTACAACACATACTTTAAGATTAAACTGTCCAGAAGAAATTATTTTCTAAAGAAAAGCAACAAGGAAGAAGCGATTGATTAACCATTGCTTCTAACCTAATATTTCTGTCAGAAACTTCACAGACACTGGAAACCACAAAGCGCTTTTACTCCAGAAAATGGGCATATCCTAGAACTAATGGTGACTTTCAGAGTTCCAGAATGTCTTCCAAGTAGTCAGGGAAAATACAAGTCGATAAACATCACTAGTTTTTGAAGCCTCATTAAGTGGGAACTGTAGATCCAGGCAGAGGAAATTAGCAATGACGAGTATGTAGCCTCAATGTCCATCATAAGAGGATCAATAGACACAAACTGTGGAATATTATGTAGCCCTAAAAAATGAAATAGCTCTACTGTATATGTGCTCACATGGAAGAATATATGTTATAAATTGTTTAGAAAATAATGATGCAGAATACTATCCACAGTGGGATTTAATTTTTGTAAAAACAAATAAACAGTTCTGGCCAGTGTGGCTTAGTGGTTAGAGTGTTGGCCTGAGCACCAAAGGGTCTCAGGTTCGATTCCTAGTCAAGGGCATGTACCTGGGTGGCAGGTTTGATCCCCAGCCCTTAGCCAGGGCATGTTCGGGAGGAACCAATCAATGTTTCTCTCTCACATCAAGGTTTCTCTCTCTCTCCACCCCACCCCCTTCCACTCTGTCTAAAATCAATGGGAAAATATCCTCAGGTGAGGATTAACAAACAAACAAAATGTACAAACATATGGATATAGGTATTTACTTTGTTAAGAGCTAGAAGAACATATTTCAGCTGTTATCAGGGGATTCCCCAAAGGATCCAGAGTGAATAAAGAAGGTGGGAATGGTGGTGGAAGAGGGAAGAGAGGAATGTTTACTTTTTAATTTATCCACATTTGTATTGCTTGGATTTTTTCATAAACATAAAAACATGTAAAAATCATTGCATCAGAAACAAACGTCTCATGTGCCTGATTGTTTGAAGCTCTATTCTACAAAGAAACATGCTGTCAACCAGCAAATAGTCCCGATGACAAGCATCCTTCCACCTGAAAACACTTTGTAAAATGACACCATCAAGTGTCTCACACTTGATTTTTTCTTCTTTTTTGGTACGTGCCCCTAGCGGGAACCGAACCCGGGACACTCCGGTCCATAGGCCAATGCTCCAACCGCTGAGCCAGACTGGCCAGATCTAAGTGTCTCACACTTGAAAACATCAGCTGTTACATGTCAGGTGAGGGAAGAGATAAAAGTGAAGCCCAAGCTGCTCTGTGATGGGAATGCTTGCATCTGTTTGAGTGGGCTGATGGTGACGGAGGGGGGGAAATGCATACAGTGAAAAAAAGATGCTGAACGTATACAAGTCGTTTCGTAGTGACGGGGATGATGTATTGCTGCCCTCTGTGACACTCAGGATCTCTGGTACCGATCGCCAGCCTCACACCTTCCTGAGAGGGGTTCCCGCTCAGCAGAGGGGGATCATTCCCATGGAAATGCACATATCTGTGTTGAGAGCCTAATGTGCTCTATGGAGGGGAGGTGGACACAAAATAAACAAGAGCCAAGAATCGCCTCACGATGCTTAGAATCTGAGGGGGGAGCACGGGGGTGTGCACAGACCACAGACTCGAGGACGCAACGTGGACTGTGTGAGCACACCAGCTACAAACTAAAGCAGGGCTTCCCAAGAGAGCGGTCAGGCGGTCCCTGCAAGGGGCGGTGCTTTGTTTTCTGATTTGCTTTAGAATCGGAAAAACATGAAAATCATTGCAAGCAGAGGGGAAAGAGTCCACATGAAGTGGTGAAAAGAAGGAAATTAATCAATTTCCTGGTAGAAGCCTGAAGCGAGCCCAAAGGCAGAAGTTGGTCATGAGAAGGAGGGTGGATATTACCCAAAATATGTAACAGAAGGATGAAGAGAAAGGAACAGCAAAATAGCCCACTTGTAACAGCTTTGACTTGCTCAGTCTATCGAGAAGTTACATTATTGACAGAGCAAAAGGGCGGTGGGGGCTTGGGAGCTGCAGAAAGATTCGGAATAGCCACTGTGAAGACTATAAGTCAACCAGAAATGATGGAAAGGTTTGTGTAGCATCACTGAGGTCACTGCTGAGGCTGGGCAGCACGAATTTTCCATGAAGCTAATACGCATTGTCATTACTTTCTCTAGCAATACCGCAGGTAGGCACAGGGGCGTGGACGTTCAGCTTTGGCTGAAATGCATGTTTTACAGAAACCAAATGACCCTTATACTGAGAGTTGCATGTGAAAATTCACTGAAAATTAATCGCAAATAATTGCATCATTTCAGACTTCACTTTGTCCATTTGTTTCTTTGCCCTTAATAGTTAGAGTCAACTCATTCAGATAGCTACACTTCCTAAAGACTAAGAACACTATCCTGTGCGTCACATGTTAAACCAAGCAAGCGATGCTATTAGAATTTCCTAAGTTTCTAGCTCATCATTGCTTCTCATACATTATGTATTTTTAGGTTGGAAAAACTAATAACATCCTTTTTGGAAGACCAGGATCCAGAGAGCAGACTAGAGGTTGGCGCCGATATGCGTAAAATCCACCACTGTTTCCATCATTTCAAGGTAAACGTAAGCACTCCGCCCGCAGAAGCCGTCCCGGCTCTGTTCAAACGACAGTAACGCTCCCCCAGTGGACCGGCTCCCACACGGCCAGGACCGCATGAGCCTCCGGCCAGGGCTGTACTTGTCCTCTTCACAGCGTGTCTCTTACTTGCCGGTGATGCTACTTACACTATAGACTTGCAGTTCTTATGTCAGGAATCTCTACCTTCTACACAGAATAGTTCCGTAGTCAAAAACCGTTTATTTTCAAGCTATATCAAGAGAACTGCGTCTTTCGTTTTTCCCCCCAGCAGTGTTGACTTCTCCATAGAAATCCTCAGTTTTTCTCTGCCTTGGGTTTTACCTTTTCTGATGACACAGCGGGAGTAGCATTAACCTTGACTTCTGCCTCAGTTGTAATGTGGCCCCTTCCTTAAGATAAGGCACACTTGCTGGGAGGCTGCTGTGGCCAGGTGTAGAGAAGGCAGAGTTGAATACGTCAGTCATAGAGAAGACAGATACGTAAGGAATAATTAGAATACAGGGTAAGTGTTATTCTAAAAAGGGGCTTGGGGTTATGGAGAAAGGGGAAGAAGTTCAAGAGGAGACGCTGTCTGAGCAGGAATGTCCCCTGTTAGGGAAGAAGAGGTCAGACAGCGGAGGGGGCAGTGTGGACGGAGGGCCGAGAGGGGGCAGAGGAGAGGGAAGACGTGCCAAGTAGGGGCAGCTGGGTGGCACAGACAGGAGGCAGGAGAGGCATGCACGTCTGACTTGTGTAAGTCCTTGTCAAAAATGCAAAGAGTCAAAGAAGCAAATTTGGCCCTGGCCGGTTTGGTTCAGCAGTTAGAGTGTCTGCCCGCGGACTGAAGAGTCTCGGGTTCGGTTCTGGTCAAGGGCATGTACCTCGGTTTCCGTTTGGTCCCCATCCCTGATCGGGGTCATGCGGGAGGCAACCAGTCGATATGTCCCTCTCAGGTTGATGTTGCTCTCTCTCTCTCTCTCTCTCTCTCTCTCTGTCTCCCACTCTATCTGAAGATAAACGGAAAAATATATGCTTGGGTGAGGATTAAAAAAAAAGAAACAAATTTGGAATAGAGGCATGGGCACTAGCTCTTACTTCGTCTTCCAGAAACTGCTGAATGACAAGAAGATCCATGAGCAGAGCACCGTGTGCTCCGAAGTCACAGGCCAAGACTGCCACGAACCATTAAAAGAGGAAGAATATAAAAAGCTACGAGACATTCTGCAGCAGAGAGATAATGAAATCAGTATCCTTTCTGAAGCAATACGAAGCGCCCCCTCTCCGGGCTGGAGCAGGGAGTGGGGACACTTGGATGTCTGCCTCTGGCCACGCCCCTAGCCCCCCACCCTGCCTCCAGTGCACGGGGCTGCTTTTCGTTCAGAAGTGGAATGTCCCTTCAGCAAGCAAAATGGAGCAGCTAGTGGAGTTGTGAGAAAAGAAACATCTTTACTTTGTTTTTAGCTAGATATAGTTAAAATGTTTCAGTTATATGTGTATGTATATATAGAGAGAGAGAGAGAAAGGGAGAGGGGGAGAGAGAGAGACAGAGAGAGAGACTAAAATGTTTCAGCTTATTGAAACGCATGGGCTATTTAACATGAAAATTTAAAAGTATTTTTCTGACTACTCTGCGGCGCTCCTCCTGTTTCAGGCCCGAGCCAGCCAGTGAACTGGTTATCTTTAGTAGCCGACCGGACACCGGCCGACCGCAGCCTCGCCGTGGCCCGGAGTCTGTGGCTTGTGTGTGGGTGGAACTGAAATGGTGATTGAAAAATGACAAATGGTATTTAGCTTATGAAGAGCAGAGATTGATGGAAATGTAAGTTTTTATTTGAAAGCCAGATCTACTGTTAGGGCTCTGCTTCCCAAATTTGGAAGTGAGCGTGTGTGCGTGTCCGCGACAGGACTCTCCCGGCCCCGGGAGCGGCGTATTTTGGGTGCTGAGCAGGGTAGCCGCCCTGGGAGTCGCCTCCGGTGACAGCCAGATGGTTACTTCTAAAGAGCCCCTGTTGATGGGGTTAGACCTCAGGTCTCCCCGGCATTTCTTCAGTATTGTTTCTTATTTTATCTTTCAAGCTTCTTAGGAAAGATTTGACCTTTTCATTACGTGTGCAGACTTTAAACATGCACAAGAAATTATTTTGGGCAGTCCTTTATGAACAGACATTTTGGTTCGTTTTTGAAAAATTAATAGAAGGCATTTTGGCTTCAGCTATTGTGCAAAATGCATAAAAATAAACCGCATGACTGGAGTCCAGTAACAAAGAGGTAACACACACACACACACACACACACACACAGGAGGTAGGCACACTGCCTGATTAACTTCAGTCTCTAATTTTAGTTGAGTTTTAGCAGACCCTGTATGTCTGATTCAAATGAGCTCTAGCTGCTTTATCATCCAGGCAGTAACAGCAGGTTCGGAGGTGAGGGACACCCACACAGCCCCTGCCCAGGCCAGCTGCCCCAGGTGTTGCTGCCCTTGCATCCCTCCCCTCCCCTCCCCATCTCCAGGATGGTCCCGGCCTAGACCTCAGGCCTGGCCCAGCCCCAGTCTGAGCTCTGCTTCTTTTCCTGGCCTTAATCCTGATGGAGGATCTTCTCCCTAAATCCTCCCACCAGCTTCTCAATCCCCTTCCCGGTTTGTGACGGTCTGTCATGGAGGAGGGATGGAATGAGACATGACAGGGAGGGAGCAGTCTAGGCTTATTTATATATGTTTATTTTTAAAAGAGAGTGAGAGAGAGACATACATCGTCTCCCTTCTTCACCGGAAAATCCAGGCCCTGCTGTTCACAGGGGGCCACACTAGATTCTTCCCTGCCTGTGAATGACTTGAGCAGGGCCCCTGCTTCTGAGACTCATGCAAAACGAGGTGTGTAGGAGGCGTGGGGGAAAGAACACTGAACTTCAAGTTCGCACCCAGACTGACATCCTAGCTCTCCAGACACTGGCTCCACGCTATTCAATGAAGCCGTTTTCTCGTCTTGGGGAGGAGGAGCGTGAGACCTGCTGGCCACCCCACGGGGGCAGGATTGTGAGACCTGGCGGCTCGCCCCACGGGAAGAGGAGCGTGAGACCTGCCGGCCGCAGGCGCTGAGCCAAGCCAGTGAGCTGGGCCCTGCGGCGCTGTGGGCAGTAGTGCTGTCGGAGAACCAGGCGTAAGACGGGGGTCCTGGGAGGAAAGGAAACAGTAGCCGGCACTCACTCATCACAAAGTTGGTGCCTGTCAAGAGCTAATGACCAGGAAAGATCCCTGAAATGTCAGTTTTTCACAGTTGGGTTGGAGGATATTCTCATATCGTTTTTGCCGAACCAAGGAGGCCATGACTGTGACAGGAGGAATAGGAAAGATATGACTTAAACAGGGGGACATGTGGCAATACTGAAGGTCAACAAAGACAGAAATGCAACAGAAATGAGTGGACGGCAGTGAATGTTTGTCTTGGAAAGAGCGACAAGGACGTCATGTAGTGGCATTATCAGTTTGAATACGGTTCAGACACCCCTTCAGAACACAGAGGACGGGGTGTCACTTCGTACCCCTCACTGTGCTTCACACAAAGGACGGCCCACGTTAAAGGGGGGTCGGGGGGAGAAGGCAGGAAAGGCCAGAAGGAGGCGGCAAAGATCACTTGCATTGTGATCATTATGAAATGTGAATCCGATCACGTGGCCAATTAATTTGCAACAAAGGAGCCAAGACACCACGGAAGGTGTGAACACCTTGGTGGGTACAAGTTTTTCTGAGGCAAAAAAAATAGAAGCCACATAGGGCTTGCAAGAGAAAACTGATGATCCTTCCAGAAATCGAAAAGCTGGAGCCGAAGCCGAGGGTGAAGACGGAGGTCACACGGGTCCATGTCACTGGGTGCTCTCTCCTTCCCGGGTGTCAGTCAGTCTCCTGTCCTGCACTGGCCTCACACGGTTCCATTAGCGCAGCCACCTCTAGGGCTGGCGAAGGTCTGAATTCACCTCACTGCGTGTGCGGTGGGAGTTCTGACATTCCCAGGGGAGATGATAGTTTTTCCTTGTGGCGATGGCAAAGGTCCCTTAGAGTTCTAGGGACCCTGAGCCCGGAAGAGCAGCGAAGTAGGGCAGAAAGGAATGATTTGCTCACCTGTCACCAGTACCTGGAGTAACTCTAAATGGCCTACAAAAGGTGCATTTTAAAATGAGAATCTATACTAATAACTCACGTCTTTCCAGTTCAGTTTTTAGCCCAAATTAGATATTTTAAACAAAGTGACTGCAAAGCCCACTTGAAGGTATCTAAAGTCAGCGCGGGGTGCTCTGGCCACCAGGACTGACTTGGCCGATCTGCTAGCCCGGGCTTCCTAGACGAAACTCTTACTTGTCGCTGAAATATCCATAGCTTCACTGCCTGCGGCGACTCCGTGTTCATTTTAGTTTTACAGACCTTTCATAAAAATGTTAAGGCTTCATTGGTTTAAATTCGGAACATGTGAAAGATCTCTGGGTTTGCTACCTTTTCCTAAAATGGCAGCATGTTAAAAGACCTCCCAAGCTGCCGTGGCTCCGTCTGTGACTCCGGGAAACTGAGGGCGTCCTCTGCTCAGTCACTACCACGTGGCAAAGAGTAAATGTTAGTGGGAATATTCGTCCCATTGAAAACATTCATATTTCGACCACTGTGTGCTAGCATGAGTCATGAAATCCTTAAGTCACGTCTCAGATATTCTGGTCAATATGTTGAAGAAGGAGAAGAAGAAAGCTCAGGACGCCCTCCACTTGTGTGGCATGGAGAGAAAGGAGTTTCAACATGCCCAGAGCTCACCCCTCTCACCTGGGGAGCCGGCAGGTCCCGGGGCACTGCCCCTATCCGCTCCCTCACAGGTCCAGGATGCCACCACTCTGGGCCACAGATCCAGTTTGCTGTGCAGAAAAACAGGTCAGTGCTATTTATTTATAGAGTATATAACCTTCAATAGACTATCATAAATTACACATCAATATAAAAAGTAGAAATAATGTAAACCACTATAATTTTTTTTTTATCCTCATCCAAGGACATTTTTCCTTTTTTTTTTTTTTTTTTTTTAATCCTCACCTGAGGACATTTTTCCATTTTTTGTTCAGGTAGAGTGGGAGGGAGAGAGAGAAACAGAGAGAGAGAGAGAAACATCGATGTGAAAGGAACACATCGAGTGGCTGCCACCCGCACAACCGACCAGGGCCGGGGACAAACTGCAACCGAAGTACATGCCCTTAGCGGGAACCGTACCCGGGTCTCTCAGGACCGCAGGCCGACGCTCTAACCGCTGAGCCAAACAGGCCAGGGCCATTTTTCCATTTTTTGTACAGACAGAGCGGGAGGGAGAGAGAGGAAGAGAGAGAGAGAGAGGGAAACATCGATGTGAAAGGGACACATCGAGTGGCTGCCACCCGCACGACCAACCAGGGCCGGGGACAAACTGCAACCGAAGTACGTGTCCTTAGCGGGAACCGAACCCGGGTCTCTCTGTACCGTAGGTGGACGCTCTAACCGCTGAGCCAAACCGGCCAGGGCTAAACCACTATAATTTTATCATTACGTTCATCGTTGTAATTCTTACAATTTTTATGATTACTAATATTTCGTGAGGTTTTTTTTACTTGTAGCAGCAGCTACAAAGGACCCCAAGTGAAGTTTATCCACCTTCAAAATATTCCAGTATTCCTCGTTCTCCGGGACAAATTCAGTATATCACCCTTTAGTTTTAAATGTGCAAGGGTGAAGTCTCTATCAATTTACTTTTAGAGATTTTTATTATAACTGCCAAATATATGAAAGATCCCTTTTGAAAATCAATGGCTGAACTGGAAAAACAAACAAACAACCAATGCCTGACTTGCCATGGATTCAGGCAGAAATAGATGGGTCCAGGGCCACAGTAGAAGCGTTAACTTTGAGAGGAGCAAAGACTGTCCCCTGACACAGGAGGGGCAGAGCGAGGGCAGCCGTTGCTACATTGCTGATGAGATGATGCAGTGCTTATTTCTGAATTCCAATGGGCTATTTGCAAAAAAATAACTTAAAAATAGTATTGCAGTCTGCACCGAAGGGCAGTAAACAAACAAAACTGTGTGGGACGATGTCGCGGTGCTGCACTCCGGGGCCCTCCCCCAGGGGTCCGTGATGAGCGGTGTCACGACTACAGAGCTGCAGAGCCCAGTGGTTTGTGGGCTTCTCTTGTCCTCTTAGAGCCGCCGGCACGATGTACAGAAGTGTGACTGAGGCCTTTCTTGCTGTAGTTTTCGTTGTGGTGGTTGTTAATCCTCACCCGAGGATATTTTTCCATCAATTTTTACATGGAGTGGAAAGAAGGGAGGGAGAGACCGAGAGAGAAACATGGATGTGAGAGAGACACATCGAATGGTTGTCTCCTGCACGACCCCAGTCAGGGCTGGGGATCGAACCTGCAACCCAGGTACCTGCCCTTGACGGGTACACAAACCTGTGACCCCGGTCTGTGGACCGGTGCTCTAACCACTGAGTAACCGACCGATGCCTTTCCCTTGAAGACCCTGAAGAATTGAAGTATGGAATGCTCTAGAACAGAAGGTGGAAAAGCTTCTCTTTTTGGCAACATAGGTTGACATTTTCTGTCTAAACATTTGTTGGGATAGATAATCTGACATGCATGGTTTTCTAAAGGATTTAGCTTGGGAATAATTAGAGTATGGCACTCATTAAGAACGATGTTTTGTAGTTAATAAAGACACGCTTGAGAAGCCTGGATGTATAATCTGCGATATTATAACCCTGTATCTCGTTTCTTTTAATTAAATGTATTGCGGTACCATGGCTTCATAACCTTGCGTAGTTTTCAGGGAGGCAAGGTTACAATTCGACATCTGTGTACTCGCGTCCACTGAAATGCGCTTCCTGCCGTTACCACGTATTTGACCCCTTTTCTCTTTTCATTCCAAATCTTGCTTTGAATGTTGTTTTAATAGCACCGTGGGATAAATGTAACACCACAGGAAACCAAAAGCGCTGTTTTACCATTTCCCATGGCGGCTGTCGGCAGGGAAAAGCGTTCTCTCCGCGACTGGTTCCCTCCGGGGTCCCCGTACTCCGGGATGGGTGACCACTGGGTGGCTTGGCGAATTTATCAGTTCATCCATCCACTTATCCATTCCTTTATTCACTCCTCATCTATTTATTGAGGACACACTTTGTTCTAGGTGCTATGCTGATTATTATTATTACAGCCCTTATACACATCAGGTATGATTCAAAGTTCTCTGCTTGAATTAGCTTATCTAATCCTTACCCCATAAGTTCATGGTTTACCCTGTCTTACAAATGAGGATAAGCACCATCTCCGGCCTCAGGGCACGTGCGGACTGACGGAGAAGAGAGCCTCGAAGAAGTCGTTACAGGGTTCGCCTCTGTGTACCAGGGGAGCGCACACCCGGGAACCCTGCCCCGCGTGAAGACCAGAGGGGCCAGGCTGCGGGGTGGGAGTGCGGGGGGAATGTTGCCAGCAGAACCATCACTGTGTAGCTTTCAAGGCCTTGGTGGCGGAAAGGAGCATTTTCGGAAGCGAAAGGCCAAGATGGTTGGGAGGGGGCGTGAGAGGCACAGACCGGGAGAGGACACAGTTTGCATCTGCAGTTAGGAGGCTGTCCTGTGTAGTCAGGGCAAAGGAGGGCTGGCCGCAGAGGGTGGGATCGGAAGCCTTTGGGAGGTAAACAGGACCTGGTGACTAAAGGGCGGGGTGAGGATGAGGGTGGCTGGGGAGGCTCTCCATGGGGGTAGAGAACAGTGCCTGTCCCGGCCCTGCAGCCACTGGCGTTGTTGGCTGTAGAGAACCTTGTACTAGCGTGTCTGCCAAGATGAAATGTGCCCACGTTAGAACCCCAGGCTCATGATGGAAGGGACTCTGTTTACCGGTCTTTTCCAAAGATGCACACCACGCGTCCTGCAGAAATGGCCTCGGACGCCGCTGCCCACCCCCGCGCTGTGTGCCAGACCTCCTCTGTCTACTTCTGTGCCTCGTGCCCACACCATCTCTCTGCTCATAATTCTCCTTCCTCACCGCAGCGCATAATCTCTCTCCTAACTCACAATTATAGTCAACTTTTAGTAACTCCTTTCCTCCCTTGATACGGCTATCGGGAAAGACTGGAGTTTTGTTTGGAGAATGAATTACGTTCACTTGAATAGAAAATCACTGGAAAAATAATGGAAATTGTTTGTGAAGTCCAAGTACAAATGAGGTAAAAGTGTTTTGGAGAAAAGCCTCCCAGTTGAAAGGAGTTTTGAGTTGTTTTAACTGTCATTGGATATAGTTCTAGCAATAACTTTAAATAGGAGCAGGCTCACAAATGGCTTGATAGTGATCTAAGCATTTGGAGGAGGGGCTGATGGGGGATTGATTTTATTTTCTGGCAAAACTACAGAAAGGATGAAAGTTGCCGTGGACGAATCCATGCTGCAAAGGAACAGGTAATGGGATCGCTTGTTACAACACTTAAGATCCTCGGAGCTGATAAGGCCTTTATTATTGCATTATTTTACATGCACGCAGCTTGGGTACTCTAAACCAAATACAAAAAATATATATATATGTTCCTTAACATGTTGTTCTGAATGTTTTCTGCCTTGTGTAGGTGTTGACCTTGTCTATTAACCACCCCGGGGCTGTCTTTAATGCAGAAAGCAAATCCATTTGATTATCTTCTACCCTGAGACTGTTGTGAAATTGTTTCCCCTTTCTGATGACCCCCTCCTTCTTCCACTTGCCCCACTTTATTCTGAAAGGGACTCTTTTTAAATTTCTCGTGGTAAAAGAACATGAAACCGAATTCACGGTTCACTGGAGAATCCCGCAGAGCAGTTGGGCCAGCAGCCCGCCGAAGCAGAGGAAGGGCAAAGGCCTTGGGGGTTTGGCTTGTTGTTCTGAAGGTTAAATGTCTGTTTTGGTTTTATTGAAATAATAGGAGGGATTGTTCAGCTTTACAGTTTGAAAAGAGTCATATTGTTCTCTTTAAAACAGCAGAAGTTTTATCGTTTTTTTGTTTTTTTGGGGGGGGCTTAGGGTTCTTCTTGTTGACTTTTTTTTTAGTTTTTTGTTCTGTTGGTTTGCTTTGTTTTTGTTTTTTGTTTGTGTGGATTTTTTTTTTCTGTTGCAGTTCTCTGACTGTAAGGTCCAAATAGTCACCTGGAGCCAGTCAGCATTCCAGAGCCCCGTGACCCGCCTCGTCCCTTCATGTCTGCAGTGCTGACAGGGTCCGCGTCCACCCCACCCTGACTGCGCCCCATCTCGTCTGAGGTGCTAACAGATCCCACTTATCTCGGCGATGTCACTGGGATTTCTCTTACTCCATGAGAATGTATTCCATCCCCTCGATGTTCAGGGAAGGTCCTGGGGACAGGGTGCAGGGAGACCAAAGTGGACTGAGACATGGTCTCTGACTCTGGGCGCTTACATTCAAGTAAGGGAGGCCAGCTTCGTACCCGAGGAGCGGAACATAAAATAACAAGTGCTCTAAGCAGGACCTAGAAGAAGATCCAAAGGAGAAGAGAGGAATTTTAATAAGCACATTGGGAAAAGGAAGTGACATGGGAGGTGGGTCTCAAAGGATCGGTAGAACTGGACAGTCAGAGACGGACGGGAGAACACTCCAAACATTCTGAGTTGAAAGAATATCACGAGCAAAGGTTTGGGAACAGGACAAGGAGAAATATGTGGAGCTGGCAGGGGTATTTGTTTAGCTGGGGCCATGGAGATGTACGGGAAGTCAGAGCGAATAAGGGCTGCAGAAACGAGGGGAGATCGTTGGATGGTTGTTTCAGGGCACTGGAGGTGAGGGAGAGATGGGAACCTCGCCTTTTAACTCTATGCTTTCACGTGTTGTTTTAATTTTGTACATGTCTCTATTGAATAAGTAGGGACACAT